CATTCCAGGCCAGCTGGGACTACAGGGAGACCATGTCTCAAAAAGACCAAAAACAGGAAAGGAAAAAAATAGAATCAGGTCGGGTGTGATGGTGCATGCTTTTAATCCCATCACTTGGGAGGCAGAGGCAGGTGGATCTATGTGAGTTCAAGGCCAGTCTGGTCTACATAGGGAGTTCCAGGGCAGGTGGGGCTATAGAGAGACCCTGTCTCAAAAAGACCAAAAAAAAAAAAAAAAAGAATCAGAAGAATACTAGGGAATATTTGAATGGGCTGAAAAAAAAAATAAAAGATAGTGTTAACTCTTCTTTGAGTAAATCTGTTGTATTGACTTTTACAAACATTATTATTTTACTTATTCAAAAAATTTTGACTGCAGTGGTGGCTGATGCCTATAATCCCAGCACTATGGGAGCTAAGGCAGGAGAATTTGACTTCCAGGCCAGCCAGACCTGTGTCTAAAGAAGGAAGGGGAGGAGGAGGAGAAAGAGGACTGTAGGGGGTGGAGTTGTAGCTGAATGATAGAACACTGGCACAGCACGTAGAACATCCTGAAAAGCACTGAAGGTACTTCTAAGAAAACACATATGTAAAGAAAGGCAAAGAAAAGCTCTTCCAGATTGATGGATTCTGAACACGGCAGAACAGCTGAGTGCAATGTTTGATCCTGGATTAGACCCTGAACTGGAAAATAAATTCTTATAATGAACATTTGTGCAACTAGTAAAATCAAAGTGCAGTTTACAGACTACAAAATAATACTGTTGTAATGTCGAATTTCCTGATTTTTGTATTTGTACAGTGGTTACATAAAGTAGTCTCCTTGTTCTTAAGAAACATACACTATAGCTGGGCATGGTGGCACATATCTTTAATCCCAGCACTTAGGAGGCAGAGGCAGATGGATCTCTGAGATTGAGGCCAAGCCTGGTCTACACAGTAAGTTCTAGGCCCCTGGGGCTATGGGGAGACCCTGCCTTGAAAAACAAACAAACGAACAAAAAAAAAAAAAAAAAAAAAAAAAAGGCCGGGCTTGGTGGCGACCACCTTTAATCCCAGCACTCGGGAGTTCAAGGCCAGCCTGGTCTACATAGTGAGTTCCAGGACAACAGCTGAGGCTACAGGGAGACCCTGTCTCAAAAAGACCAAAAAAAAAAAAAAAAAAAAAAAAACCCAAAAAACAAAAAAACAAAAAAACAAACCCAAAACAAAAAAACAAACAGAAAGAAACACACACTGAGATGTTTAGTGGTAAACAGACACCAGGCCTACAACAATTGAGAAAAAAAAATGTGTACAAGCACATACACACTAAGAGAATGCACACAAGCGTCCCAACATTTTAATGAGTTTGTAATACAGACAAAATATATTGGAGTTCATAGCGTTTTTTAAGTGCTTCCCAGACATTTCCATGTATTTTACTCTGTCTCCCACTCTCAGTCTAGGTTTCCTTAAAGGGGCTAAGAGCTTGCATAATCTTGAACTCAACTGATGAGGTGACATGATGGAGTTGGAAACCACAATCACAATGGTAATGAAATGACAGAAGAGAAAGTGAGGCTGTTCCTTTCGGTTTAGAGCCTCTATCTGATAAGGGCTGTGTTTCCAGGTCTGTCTTCCACCCTTGTCCTACAGGAGAAAGGAAGCATTTTAGTGACAGGCTTTTTATCATGATTATTTAATCTTAATTTGACTATTGGTAACTGATAGGAAATTGCAAATCAAAAATTGTAGCAAGAGGGAAATGTATCCATACCGTATGCCCCTTCCTGAAAGGACAGGCCATGCAGGAAACTGTGGAACTGTGATCAGATGGCTGTAACATTCTAACCAGAGAACGTTCTCCAGTTTTAATATCTTTCATGGGATTTTAACCACCACTGTGTGGTTAAAATTTTTTAATGTTCATAATAATGCTACAATATGAATTCTTTGCTGTAATTCTGATATTTACAGTAGGCAGCTGGATATCCCAATCCAGAGGTTTACATGCAGATTTCACAATTACAAAGATCTGACATCAGCATCATCCTCAGAGGACACTCACCAGAGGAGCAAAACAGAGGTCAGGAATATTGATAAAGTGCTTTGCTTACCAAAACATATATGGAAAACAATATTTTGTGACGTCACTCAAATCACAGCCAAGGAGAAAAAAATCACATTGTTAGCAACACAGCAACAAACAAATAACTAGTTAAAGCTGTACATAATTTATCACAGACTGAGTTCAGGAGATTAGGGGCACAGAAGGCTCAACACCTGGTCAGCTCATGCCCCACCCATTCACCCAGTCCCAGTAGTTTGAAATTGAATCTTTGCATTCTGAGGGCCCCACTCATGGTCTGACTCTAGGAAAGTCTAGTTTCCTCTAGTAGTTTGGGGTGCTTTTTATCTATGCCAATGAGCACACAGAGCTCTGTATAAACTGGCTACCATCCAAAGCCAATGATAAAGAAATACTATGATCCTCTTGATTAATTTCACAAAAGATGAGCAAAAAAAAAAAAAAAAAAAAGGCAGTTCTATTGGATCCTATGCGAGGGTGGAGTGCCTTGTGTCTCCAGGAGCCACGCTTTCCCCATTCCAGTCCTGGGTTCTTTTATTTGAACTGGCTTATCTCTCTATTAAGAACCATAAATCTCAAATATGGAGTTAAAATGGTATTTTCATTGAGGGCTTTCCATTTTTGTCAGCAGCCAAAGCCTTGAAGAAAAAGAATCCAGTGGTTTTAGAGCTGGTAGAGCAGGTTTGTTCATGAAGTTACACCCTGCTGGTATCACGTAGGCCTGGGAGCCTCTGTCCCAGAGAACTGAGCCAATGAGTATTCCACTAAATTCTTGGCAAGTGTCAACCTGTCCTTTACAAAGGCTCTGCAACCTTCAAGCACATTTCATCTCAATGTCAAGTCTGTAGAGCTGGAAGAGAGGCGTAGGTGGACCAGCCTTGTCCTGTCTGAGAGTATCTGGAAGCCTTTCTGGCTAACATAACCCTAGGGGTAGGGAGAGGAACTCAGGTATATATTTAATTCTCAGGAAAACCAAGCTGTCTCTTTTTTCCCATTCTCTTAGCAAATAAGGTTGAGAAAGATCTGGCTTACGTTAAGTGAAATGAAATCCACAGTTTTTTTTCTTTGTTTGTTTCTTTCTTTTTGAAATAGGATCTTGCTATTTAGTCATGACTGGCCTCAAGCTCAGCATCCTCCTGCCTCCACCACCCAAATGCTGGAATTACAGGTATGTTCTACCACATCCAGCTTGAATCTAGAGATTTTTAAACACAGCTACAGATGATACCAGCGAATTAACTGCTAGGCTGCCGATGGGAGTTTCCATCTTTGAAATCCTCCTGTACCACTTTGTACCACTTTTGTTGCAGCTCTTTGGTTAATGTTATGTATTATTCTAGAGTTTCAATTTCTTGCACATACATTTATTTTCAGAATCATCAAAGAAACATCTTAGATTCCATTCTTTCCCTGTCCTGGTCTAGAGCACGAACCTCAGGCTTCAAGCATGCCAGACAAGTACCTTCCACTGCTCCACTTCAGGTTTGTTTATATATTCTCAGATAGTTTCAGTAAACATGTTTTTTAAATAATCTCAGTGCTCAAATGCATGTTGATAACTTTTGTTTTTAATGCATTGCTATGACTTGCACTTTGTTTTTAAGGATGAGACTTTCATTAAAAATAAACTTTTTATTTCCCCTTTGGTGAGGTAAGGCATGTACTCCATCACTGTACCACCCCTAGCCAAAGCTTTCATTTCTGTTTTTGTTTTGTTTATTGGTCTTCTTGAGATAGGGTCTCCCTATAGCCCCAGCTGACCTGGAACTCATTATGTAGACCAGGCTGGCCTAGATCTCTCAAAGATGCACCTGTCTCTGCCTCCTGGGTGCTGGGATTTTTCAAAGGACCACAGGTAGCTAAATTTAGCCCTCAACTGTGGTCTTCTGAGTTTTCTCACTTTTGGCTGTATTTGGATAGGACTGGTTAAGTAAGTCATTTCTTTCCCCTTGTTTGAAGGACCCATATATACTTTCCCTCCTATTTGTCCAAGTAGCACTTCTGCCTGGGTACAGTATAATAACCTACTCATGCCTAGGTATGTAGGAGTCTGGATGAGGGAAATTGGGGGGCTTCAAAAGATTCTTAAAGAAATTCAAAAGTATGAAAGAAACCATATTTGTTTTCCAAATTTTTGTGCCTAGCTTGTCTTGAGAAGATATTAGAAAGCAAGTCCCCTGAAAACAATGTAAAAGAACCATGATTAAGTATCCCAGAGAAGCTCTTCACCAGGGAAGGACTGTTAAATAAATAGTTCCTCCAGAGAGCAAAGCATATTTAATAAATGACTTCAAGTGGGCACCAAAATTGATACACAATATTTGTTTAGACAAAATTAAAATATTCCCACTGGGGAAAAAATGAAAACAACTGTGTGTAAAACTTGGTCACTGTTAGAAGTGAAACCCCTCTAAGGGACTAGGTGTGACCAGTCTCAGTATACTTCTTGATTCAGGATGCTGAGAGGAAGGATGGTCTGTGAAGATCAACATGGTTTCACCAAGTACAGGAATTTTCATGGCTATAAAGGGAAGAGCACGAGCGTCACTCAGTTTAAAGACAGGAAAACGCACCAGAGTACAAATCACTTAACAGCTGCACGAGAAATGCTGATCAAGTTATGAAGAATGGTGTTCCTAGAAGCCACTTGCGTTTCACTGTTATTCATAGGTGACACAGCTTACATTCTTCTGGTTCTCACTGGTACATGACAACTTCAGAAACACATACATATTGCACAAAACTCATGACAGGATTCCACAGAGAAAGGTTTCCATCTGGCCCCTGCTGTTCTCCACAGAAGATCAGTTCCCAAAGTCATGGTTTATGATGACCCTAGTCTACTTACAGTGAAGGGCCCCAAGTCTGTCTCTCTGCTTCACCAACTCTAGTGGCATCAGGTGACCTCGGTAACAGAGAAGAATCACTTTTTATGGCAGCAGTTGCTGTAACTGTGACTCTTTTCTTTGGATGATAGACCTCAAGCCTTTACAAGTCCCCAGGGACTCAGAATGGCAGATGATATTGTTTAAAAGAAGCAAACCAGCCTGTGGTTAGTACTATTTTGAGGGGTGTTGCCCACTCCTCAGGGCAGCTTGCTGTTCCCCTGCCAGTACAATTTCTCTTCTACTTTTTTCTTTTTCCACCGGCAGAGAAGCAGCATCTTAAAGGTCTTCCTGAAGGTTCTGTTGCAGAGAGCATAGCAGATGGGGTTCACTGTGCTGTTAACATAGCACAACCAGTAACCCAAGTGCCACAGGGTGACAGGGACACACTTGTCACAGAAGGTAGAAACCAGGACCATGATGTTATAAGGGGTCCATGTGATGATGAAGGCCAGGAGAATGGCACTCAAGGTCTGGGCTGCCTTCCTCTCCTTGACTAAGACCATTCTCTTTCGTTTGGTCATTTGATGGCTGAGGTTGGGGTCCAGACCTTTTGTTGAAGGCTCTTTGGACACTGGGAAGGAGCAAGACATGATTTTTACCTTGCGGCAGCCATTGTTGGTTTCCTGGGTCCCGTCAGCTTTTACCACTAGTCGGAACTTATAGGCAACACATTTCTGAGTCTTAAGTCTATGAGCAGCAGCTGGAGATAGGAAGTATTTTGGGCTGTCATAGTCATTTTTTTCAGTCTGAGTACTCATAAAAGTTTCCTTGGTCTGGTCAGCACTGATTTCCTTCCTTGGGCTTTCCTTGGCCTGACTCCTATAGACCACTTGGAAGACAGGATCAGTGGTGGGCTTGTCCTCATCCTCTGAGGAGGCAGAGCTGCTACAGGTTGTGACCTGCTCAGCTTTGGCCCAGTCAGCACTTGGGCCAGAGGCCTGGGATGGCTTCCCTGTGGTGGAGGTGCTCCTGCGGGAAGATGACCAGGAGGCCTGGTTTCTTTCCCTCTGGGCCAGAGTGGGTCGAGGGCAGCTGAAACAGGATCTGAGCAGAGTCCCATGAGCTGGCTTTCTTTTCTCAGCTTCTGCCACAGAATCAGAACCCTGGAGGACAGCCAGGTCCTTGGTTCGTTTTTCTGTTTCCCGGTAGATTCTGCAGTAGAGGATGGTCATGACGGAGACAGGGATATAGAAGGCAGCAATGGCAGTGCCAAATGTTATGGTGGGCTCAGAGAGAAACTGTATCTGGCACTCATCAGGTGGTACTGTCCGTTTCCCAACCAAGTACTGCCAGCAGAGGATTGCTGGGGCCCAGAGGATGAAGGAGATAAGCCAGGCCAAACCAATCATGATGCCAGCCCTTTTGGGGGTACGTTTGGCCCGATATGTCAGTGGTCTTGTGATAGAAAAGTACCGGTCAAAGCTGATTACCAGGAGGTTCATGACAGAAGCATTACTGGCGACATAGTCCAGTGCAAGCCAAAGGTCACAAGCCAGACTCCCAAGAACCCAGCGTCCCATGAGGATGTAGGTGGTATAAAGGTTCATGGAGAAGACCCCAATGATAAGGTCTGCACAGGCTAAGCTGAGCAGGTAGTAGTTGTTAACGGTCTTGAGCTGACTGTTGACTTTGAAGGAGATCATGACCAAGACATTTCCTACAATGGTGATCAGGCTGACTATGGCGGTCACTGCTGCTATGGTGATGACTTCCCACAGCCCATGGCGTTCCAAAGGCTGGTGATCTACTGTGGTGCCATTGACTGTGGTTATATTGTAGTAAGATTCCCCCTCCATCCTGGTGCAAGAATTTACATCAGGATTAAGTCTGAGGTTCTGAACTGTTTTCTGCTGTGTCTCACTCTTCTTGGCCAGTATCTGGAAGACAGGGAAACATGTTAGTTCCATTCACCACTCACTTGCATGATTTTCTTTCCCACTTGCAGTTCATCATTTCTAACAGAATATGAACTGTAGTGCATACATTTCCAGAGCAAGATGCTGAACTTGATTTTTCTTAGCAAACTACTTTATTTGTTGCCAAAACTTTTGGGGCTGGAGAGATGGCTCAGAGGTTAAGAGCACTGGCTGTTCTTGCAGAGGACCCAGGTTTGCTTCCCAGTATCCACATGGTGGCTAACAACTGTCTATAACTCCAGTTCCAGGGGAGCCAATGCCCTTTTCTGACCTTAACAAGCATTGCACGCATCGGTACACTTACATATGTGCATGAAAAACACTCATACACATAAAATAAAAATAAAATTTGAAAACTATTGGTGATATTGAAACAGTCAAAGTTAAGTACACAGTGGAAGGGCAAAATAATTTTTTGATAGTGTTATAGAAATATATATTGTGTTATCATTGCAATATTCTTCTGCCTAATGAATAAATAGTAAGTTCTAGTTATAAGATTTTTCAACTTTTAAAACAATTTACTTTTTAATTTAAAAATTATTTGACAGATTCATATACGTATGAAATGAATTTTGATTATTTCCATACTCCTTCATCCTCTCTTAATCCTCTTCATCTCTTACTGTAATTCTTCTTCCATAGAGATCTCTGAACTTTTGGTAACATTTTTATTAGGGTAGTATCCTTTTGCTTTTTATGATTTTCAATGCCCAAGCATTTTTCTTGCCTGTGAAACTGCTGCCCTCTTGTGGTAATTTTAAAAGAAGGGGCTGAGCTGTTGAAGGAGATAGAAAAGGAAAAAGAACTGGATTGCTGGGGAACAGTTAACATAGGAAGCAGGGACGTTAACTGGCAGTAGACTGCAGTGACCATAAGAGCAGGGACCTTGTTTTTAAGGTTCCTAATGAGAAGTACCTACACTGATGCACTGGAGAAAAGACAAATTGTATCTATTGTCTAGCCCCTATCCTAATTATGGTGCTTAAATATGGGCGTGGTGGCACATAACTGTAATCCTAGCACTGGGAGGATGGAGATATGTAGATCAGGAGTTCAAGACCAGCCTTGCCTATCTAGAAAGTTCAAGGTCAACCTGGACTACATGAGATCATGTCTCAAGAAAAAAACAAAAGAAACAATAAAAAGTTATTCAAGTAGTGTGAACCACCACCATACCTCCCCCTGCCCGATGCACAGATGCCCTGTGGTCTTCATCTACAGGCTTTGAAATTTGCCCACTGCTAAGACAAAGACCCTCTTTCCATGCTTCAACTCTCTGCCAAGTCATACATCTGTTTTATTTTTTTTCTGATTATTAGGCAATATGCTCTTCATGGAAATAAATGTAAATTTAGAAAACAAAATGCTCTACCTTACTATTAGGTAATCACCACCTTCAGTCAGTGTGGATTTGGGGATCCCCCCATGATATGCATATACCAACAACTATTTAAATACAAATATTTTAGTGGCACATTTAAAAATCCTTTAAAATTAATTAAATAGGGGGCTGGAGAGATGGCTCAGCAGTGAAGAACACTTACTCTTGAAGAAGACCTCAGTTCAGTTGCCAGCACCCACACTGGGTGGCTCACAACTGCTTGTAATTCCAACTCCAGGGGATCTAATGCCCTCTTCTAGCCTCCAAAACAGTGCCTCCCACACCATGCACATATACATACATAAACACTCATACACACAAATAGAAATAAATCTTTTTTAAAAAATGAACTAGACAACCCACCAGCCTCTTTCCTGGACACCGGGGCCAGGCTCTCAGCTAGGAAGCACCACTGCTTCCTGATCCCTTGTATCCAGATGAACCCAGTTCCTTCTCCGGGTCCCTAGGAGCCATCTGGGCCTGGTTCCATCCTCACCTCCCTCTGCTTCCCTGGGCTTGCACAACTCACCAGCCTCTCTCCTGGGTAAGTCCATCATGCTCTCCATGCCTTGACTCCCCCACACTCAGTCACCCTCCCATCTCCCCTGTCAGTCTCTTCTCCTAGCCTGGGTCCTGTCCCATTCCTTGTCTTGGCATCCCAGGCATGGGGGAACCACCACTGCTTCCTGACCCTTTGCATCCAGACCAACCCAGTTCCTTCTCTTGAGGTCCCCAGGAACCCTCTGGGAATGGTCCTGCTCTCACCTCCCTCTGCTTCCCTGAGCTACACAACCGGTCAGCCGCTTTCCTGGACACCAGGGTTGACCTCTTGGGTTCCTGATCCTTTGTATCCAGACCAACCCAGTTACTCCCTGCAGTCCCCAGGAGCCCTTGGGGCCTCTTCCCGTCCCTATCTCCCTTTGCATTTCTGAGTGGCATGGCCACCAGCTGCCCAAGACCAGCATCTTTCCTGGGCCATGGTCCCAGGCCAATTCCTGTGAACAACATCTTTCCTGGAGGGATCCATACTTTAGGAGAAAGCCTGAGAGCATCTGATCCTCATCTGACTTGTGCCTCTGTGGGAACTCCTGAAGACAAAAGCAATCCTGCCACTCCAATATAAAATCAAAAGAGAGAACTGGAAGCTTAGATGAACCAGCTTTTCATGCCCCAAAAGTAAACCACAAAGGCACATAAAACTTAAAAAAAGAAGCAGATCTAAACTTGAAGGCTTGAGTCTCACACAAGAATCAGAAACTACAAAAGAAATTCACATGTCAAAATCACAGAGAAAAAATAATAACAAGAAAAACCAAAATAACATATCCCCACCAAATACCAATAGTCCTCTAGAGGAGTACATGAGAACCCCCTAGAGATAATGCAGGACATGGAACTCAAAAGAACAATTATAAACATGATAAGAGAATTCACTGAGTTTAAAGAACACACAAACAAAGAAATCAAAGAACTGAAGGAAAATAGGGATAAACTTCTGAGTGAATTCAGAAAAGAGCTAGAAATATTGAAGACTACTCAGGCTGAAATGAAGAAGGAAGTGAAACAATCAGTAAGCCAACTAGAAACAACAGGAGAAAGCCTCACCAATAGGATGAATGAAATGGAAAACTATATTAAGACTGGAAGATAAAGTGGAAGATAAAGACCACTCAAGCAAAGATTATGAAAAATTTAAGAAAGCACAAGAATGGAATATGCAGGAATTGTGTGACACCATAAAAAGACCAAACTTATGAATCATAGGCATACAGGAAAGAGAAGAATCCCAAGATAATGTCATGGACCCGATCTTCAACAGAATCGTAGAAGAAAATTTCATAAAATTAAAGAAAGATATGCCCATACAAATACAAGAAGCATATAGAACACCAAATAGGATCAGAAAAGAAACTCTCTACGGCACATCATAGTAAAAATACTAAACATACAGAACAAACAGACAATACTGAAAGCTGCAAAAGAAAAACAAGTCACATATAAAGGAAAAC